GAAAGCTATTCCAGTAACTGAGTTCCAGAACTGCTATAAACAATGGAAACATCGACTCCAGCGCTGTGTGAATTCTCAGGGTAACTACTTTGAAGGAGACAACGTAAAGTAGTCATTTTGGGTTAATAAAAAAATTTTAAAAAATCAGTCTTATTACTTTATTTACAAACCTCGTATGCTGTGTATAATTTGTACAATAGTTAGGTATTAGGAATAATGTCTAAAATTTACGAGAAAAATCAATAGAAATTGAGGTAAATATATATTTTGAATACAAAAACATGAAATTATAATTCCTGATTTTGATAGATATCAAAATCTGATTAGATAATCAGATAATAGGCAGATATTATAACTTTTATTAAATTCCATATTGTATGACAATCTGTAGTCAGTTAACAACACTTCAAACAACAGTCTTTAAATATTTCAGTTTTAATAGATACAAAATTTAAATTTTATTGCACATTATTTAAAACTTGGTAAGAAATTAGTGAGTAATGTATGTGTTCAGTGGCGTTAATTTAGTGGAAATCGTTAATAAAAAATATGAAAAAGCCATTGCTTCATATAACAGTATCTACAGCTGTAACTGAAAAATGTAAAATACGCACACATTTACAGTTTAGAATAAACGATAATATTGTTGGAAACTGCTTATGAAATGTAAAATCAGAATAAAATAAATTTATGTAGTAGTAGGGATAAGATATTTTGGTGGCCCTGAAAAGGGCCTTTTTAAGGAGTAAACCATTATAACAAAATTCTACTTCTTCTTTGGAATGGTAGCCTTCTTAACTGCGGCGGTTTTCTTCGGTGTTTTGGATTTAACAGCAGTTGATTTAGCCGGGGCCTTTTTTTTAGGTTTTACGGCCTTAGGAGCCTTGGTCGGAGTTTTTTTCGCCTTTTTGGCGGCTGGTTCACCGGAGGCTTTAGCTTTTTTTGAAGCTGGCTTCTTCTTCTTAGGCGTACTGGCGATAGTGGGTTTTTTCACTTTCTTCGCGATTGGCTTCTTCGCCACGACGGCTTTTTTCGGTTTAGTTTCGGCTACAGCCAGCTTATAATGACCTTTAGTTTGGATTATTACACCGCTCGTCACGGAAGCGGTCAAGAACTTCCTGATGAATGGTGCCAACTTGGCTGGGTCAACTTGATAGTTGGCGGCAAGATACTTTTTAATTGCAGGCAAAGACGATCCCTTTCGCTCTTTCAGTTCTTTGATTGCTGATGTAACCATAACAGACGTTGGTGGATGTGCAGCTGAGGGCTTCTTTGAAGCGGCACTTTTGGCAGCGGCGGTCGTCTTCTTTTTGGACGGTGACTTTTTGGTAGTCGGTGACGAAACAACCGGAGCTGCTGGACTGGATACTACTGTGTCGGTCATTTTGTCGAAGTCGAAAACTGAAATCGTTGAGAAACTTGGAAAACAGATGTGAAACTGTTAACAAAATTGGTAATGCATCAAACCGTTGTGTGGCGCTGATATATATAGTGTACGCCGTACCGACTAGTAAACAGGCGCAACACAAAGCCGTCGATCCGCTGTGGTTAAGCTAACGTTTTTTACGATAACTTTTCAAAAAATCAATTTAAAGACTCGGTTTTTGGTTTGACGGAAAGCCAACAAAATACTGAACAACGCCTACTAATTATTTATCGAATAATCTTCACCAAATAAACACTGTAAACCGTTATTTCGGCGCATTCGTTTAGTTTTCGTTTGTCTTAGTCAACTGACCACCGACAATTTGTTTTTATTCAAAATTACAAACATTTTATTCAGACATATTCTTCAGATGTTTCTGAACGCAGACACGTTTTCAGATCGACCTTTGATTGATTTCCCGATAAATGGCAGCCATTGGAAAATGAGCATTTGGCGTCAGATGTTTTGCGTATTTATTACGTCGACGACCACACGTTCCAACAGGTAGGCCATAATGTTGAATTTAATATTTAGTTGCACAGAATCAAATGAATAAAATTCATAAAATATTTAAAAATTTGATTTTCAATGACATCTATAATAGGTATCTAAAGTACGAATTCCCGGAAAAAAATCCCTGCAAAGAAAACCCAAAGAAACTATACTGTAAACCTTATATGTACCTACCAATTAAAAAAATAAATTGAAAATAGTTTAATCGTCAACAGTTTGAATGTATATTGTGCACACAGCTGTCAAAAATAACAATAATAAATAATTTAAAAAAAAAAAAAAATATCGTAGAAATCAGTAGTTCGCTTGCGTATTATTGGATACAGCAGTTAAAAAATAATAATAAAATAAATATAAACTCCATTGGATTTTTAATTTGAAGAGATGTTTTTAAAATAGCTAGACATTTTAAAATGCTACATTTTGAACAACTCCATCTAATAAAAAACTTACAATCCTTTTGGTGTTTGTAAGTAAAACCATTAAAACATATTTTATTTTTTCCTTGTGTGGATTTAATTATTTCCATAGTTGCACAGATCGAAATTATTCAACAGGTACTGAAGAAGTATTAACCGTAATACCTATGTAATAAACTAATAACGTGTAGATACCAAATATGTCTAAATAATTTTTTTCTAATGCATTTTCCTAATTTCACAATTCATCGCTCTAAACGATCGATTTTAAATATTTGGTAAATAAAATTATAATTATGCGGGTTTCACTTGAGAGAATAAATAGCACGGTTACATTCAACAAATTTTTTTTTTTTTGGAATATTTGTTGTTTCGTTTGTAATATATAGATTAAATAACCATAAGGATGACAATTATTGACGATAATTTATACATATAAATAAAATTGAAGTGGGCATGCCTGTAAACTTTTTAAATATTATTATTATTATTATTATTATTATTGATAGTATAATTAATTTGACGATTTATTTGCAGGGATTTGTTTACAGATTACTCTAATGTACATACCTGTATTCAGATCAAAATCGAAACTCTTTGTGCGGTTGGATGAGCCAATTGCAATTGTATAGTTTTACAAACCAAGTAAAACTAGAATCTAACAGGTATTGAAATTGGATTTTTCAAATCATCGTATTTTTTTTACTTCCAACTATGGGTACTTAACAGTACATAATATTTTTATAGGTAGTCACATTTACTGAATTGAGGTTTTGCTTTCCGATAAATATATGGAGCCCATAAGTTTTTTTTTTTTTTTTAAACTGTTAAATATTTAACAATTATTAACTTTTTATGGCCAGTCGGTATGTATAGTAGCCCCAACGTCTATATGAAGACTAATATTTGAGTTAAAATTGTCTCTATATCACCAAAGTTTAGTCAAGCTCGAAAATGATTGCAAACACTGCAAACGTCGGGATCAGTTATAGCTGTACCCTATGTCAAACAGTGTTTGTGATATACCTAGGTAATTTACGTCATTTTATATTTTATGTATAAGCAGAGAGAGTTTATGTATTTATATTGCAGTGGTAGTGTTTAATACATATACGTTTTTAATTTAATCTTAAACACAAATAAAATCTAAACATAATGTTTAGTAATGTATGCGAGTAAAACAATATTTAAAAAGCTGTCCTAGGATAATGGAGAAGGGTGCAGCCTCCTGTTATAGGTAATTAAAAACAATTGCTCACGAATAAACGATTCTGAGCGGAATTCAGTTGACAGTGGTGCTTTGTCAACAAGTGTAAATGCCATATAATGGTAAAATAGTTCGTTAGATGTACCGATTTTCCCGGTTTTTCACATTTATTGAGAAAATCGAAACGTACTTACCCGGTGAAATTTAATTTTAGAAAAATTGCTATCAATATGAGTTAAAGTAAAACTGCTGGTAGAAAAGTTGTCCACAGGAAAAATAAAAGGCCGTAAAATGTTTATCTAATACTTACATTTCTTACATTATATTAGGTATCTGCTAAGGGTTGATAGTAATATTATTATTGTTCATTATCCGTACGTTTCAAAAAAAAAAAAAACCGTCCAGAGTGGTTCGGTGAGTTTTAATATTTTATATACGTATCGTTTATTGAACTAGTCACCAAAGTCCTAAGTCAACGACACATCCCATCACTAGTAGTGTATAGCCAGTCAGAAGGCCGGTCAGCCGGATTTAGTCATGGGTTTTGTTTCGTGTGCAGAATGGTAATACCTAGTTTACATTCAGCCCACTTTCGTGGCAGTGAGCATAAAAATGGGCAGCGCGAGTATGTAAACACGTCACTCGCGCTGATCATGCTCCTCGCACTGACGCTCCCGTCAAGAGCGGTAAACTGAGCAGCGCGAACAGCAACATAACCGGCAATGCGATCAATCCGGCCAATTGCTGCTATAATTAGCAGGGCAATGTATAACACTCACTGCCGTCGACGCTGTCACAGAAGTATTTTGAGGAGTAAATACCGCAGCGCGAGTAGCAATGGCAGCTGCTGAATGTAAACTAGGTGAAAAATATGCGATTGGGGAATCAATCATATTATTGAGTTTAAGAATTTCGTACTATATACCAAAATATTTTTAAACCAATAATTAAGCACAGAAGGGAAAAACAGTGTGAAACTTTTCCATAGGCTTCGCCGCCCTATTCATAAATAACCTAAGGAAATAATTATCGATAATTGATACAGATAGTCTAAAATATTTATTTTTTATCATAACCAATGTGTAAGATGATGTATCAGCGTATAATATATTTAAAAAAAAAAAAATGTAAAAATGGTTTATTAGATTAGTTTTGTTGGCCCTGAAAAGGGCCGTTTTAGAGTATTATTTTTATTAGTTCATGTTCAGTTGCGTATTATAAATATTAGTTTGATCGGATTAACCTCCGAAACCGTAAAGTGTACGGCCTTGACGCTTTAGGGCGTACACTACGTCCATAGCAGTCACAGTCTTCCTCTTGGCGTGTTCGGTGTAGGTGACGGCATCACGGATTACGTTCTCCAAAAACACTTTCAACACTCCGCGAGTTTCTTCGTAAATGAGACCGGATATACGTTTCACACCACCACGACGTGCTAAACGACGAATAGCTGGTTTCGTTATCCCTTGGATGTTATCACGCAACACTTTACGATGTCTTTTTGCGCCTCCTTTGCCAAGACCTTTTCCTCCTTTACCGCGTCCAGTCATCGTTCTGCTGGTTTGCTAATTAATGTAAACGGAATATCGACTTGTCCGTATGAACCAACTGCGTAGAATGATTATGGATGGACAACCTGCCAGTATTTATACAATCGGGACGACGGTGCAAACCAATCGGATCGTTTTATCGTGTATTCCCACTCCTGCAGTCAGTTGAATTATCTCGACCAATGAAAACGGCGTACACATCTCTAATAAATGTATATATATAAGTGAGTGATATTGAAAGTTAAATCATAACTCACGCTTCAATTATTATTAGCTGTTGATCATATTGAATTGATATCAAAAAGCGCTACGATGGCACGTACCAAGCAAACAGCCCGTAAGTCGACCGGTGGCAAGGCCCCAAGGAAACAATTGGCTACGAAAGCAGCTAGGAAAAGCGCACCGGCAACCGGCGGAGTTAAGAAACCGCATCGTTACCGTCCGGGGACTGTCGCTCTTCGTGAAATCCGTCGTTACCAGAAGAGTACTGAATTATTGATTCGCAAACTGCCTTTCCAAAGGTTAGTCCGTGAAATCGCCCAGGATTTCAAGACCGATTTGCGTTTCCAGAGTTCTGCTGTTATGGCGTTACAGGAAGCCAGTGAAGCGTATTTGGTTGGACTTTTCGAAGACACCAATCTGTGTGCCATCCACGCAAAACGTGTTACCATCATGCCCAAGGACATTCAATTAGCTCGTCGTATTCGCGGAGAACGTGCTTAAACATTTTTTCCTTTTAATACTGTATACCGATTAAAAAGGCCCTTTTCAGGGCCATTATTAAATATTAATAACTTCTATGTTATCTCTCCATTTTTCAATCCGCAGCTAGTATATACTTCAGACCTTTGGTTTTATGCCTATCCTACTGCAAGAAAAAGTGCCACAAAATATTCTTATCAAATTTTACCGACTGACTACAAGGCTCTCAATGAGTTTAATTAATATTTAGTAATATTGCTTATAATTAGTGATGGCAATAATCGAGATATTATCATAATCGAAGTGAATTAATTTGATTAAAATAATCGAAATATTGTACCTATTTGAATAAATTAAGATCGTTATCTAATCGATAAATATTTTGATTTTCATAATCGAGTAGATAAGAATCACTCAATATATCGTGAAAATTCATACTATTTTAGATTCTGAGCAGCAACACTCATTATTCATTAAATCTACAACAATCTTATCTTTTAAATTAGTTGTATATCCGTAAAACTTTAATTATTTTTTACAGATTTGACAATTAACTACGCTTTTATTGGCATTTTTTTAAAAATGCTCCCACACTACAAAACGTTTTTGAGACTGCCTGGTCGCATTTTAAAATTTAAAAATTTATTTTGAAGTTTTTACGATACGCGGACGGTTTCAATAAATAAAACAAACGATACAATAAAATGTACCTCAATAAGGGTCATTCAATTTTTTATGTAATAGTTAAATATTTTATGGTGTGTGTGTGTGTGTGTGTGTGTGATCAAAATTAGAATAGGAACAGTAGCAAATTAACAACTAACTATTTCATTTATGATTCTAGAATCATCTAGAAATGATTATAATGATCTACTCAGCATTTGCGCATATTAGTAAACTATGGGTTATTTTATTTTGATTCATATTGTATATTATTATACTTTGCGCGAGATAAGAACGTCATTGTGCAGGCACGACGCTGTTTTGAATGTTTTGATACACCGTCCGCGATAAGAAAATAGTAATATAGGTAATATTAGTTATTAGTAGTCAATAAAATAGTAGAAAGAAATAAGAATGATTACTGATACTGTTTCGAGTAATCATCAACTACTAAATTAATAAACTAGTAAATATAAAAATAGTAACTACTAATTAGTAATTACTAATTTTTCATTCGATTATTCCCATCACTACTTATAATACCATCAACATATTCGCCATGACTCTATAACTGATTGGTGTTACAACCTATTGTAAAATAGTAATTACAATAGAAACTCAATCCATGTTAATAATAATTATATTAAATAAATAAATAAAAATAATATTTTTTCTAAACATGTAAACATTAACAATGATAAGTACGATGTCTTAAGTTTTTACTTTTATTTCGTTTTGTAATAAAGATATAATAATTATTTAATTAATTTAAATATCTATATTGTATTGAAAAAAAAAAAAAATGTAAATATTTCAAAATTAACTGAGTTTTAATATGATAAAAAATTTAATTTTGATGGGTACAAATTTTATAAAAATTATTGGCTATCCGTTGAGATTATTAGAATTTTAAAACCACTTTTACCAATTTTATATTTTTACATTTATTATTATTGTAGTTATTAGTAAATATTAAGAGAACAATTGTATTGTTAGAATACCTATATCAATTTAGAATAATTATTAAGATATTATTATAATATTATTCGTGGGTGATACCATCGTATGACGTATGTGACAACACTGGTAATAAAAGCTAACAACATTTTGGTGCTGTACTCGATTGTATTTATAATGACTCACAAATAATATTGGTCCAACAATAATTAATTAGGTTATAGATAATTATCATAATAATAATATTAATTGTAATAAGATATATAGGTCGATCAGAGATAATATTACCGTGGCACTTTTGTAGTTTTGTTCACATTATTTATCCCGGGTAAACAGCTGATGACTTGATTACGGCGGATAAACTAAAACAAAATAAAAATAATACTGATCAGAGTATTATTATATTATAGTCATATTTCCGTACCCTCTATAAACAAGTTTCACTTCAGTCATTGTTTCATATCAAAAGTTTATCAACAGTACGCTATTAACGGTGCACTGTTGTCACCATAAACTCCGTATAGTCAAGACATCAATAGTACAGTGAATTGATCACAATTCACAATACTCTACTAAAATGATAATCACTATCATTTAGTAGAGTACTAACTTCCTGTTACCATACTTTTTAATTTTCGTTCTGTCACATTGACTAGAAATAATGACCTAGAACTTTTTCACATCAGTTATAGGTATATATAGTATGTATAGTTTAAACATTCTTTTACAATATTATAAGAGTATACCTATTATTATAGTCTGTTAATAACGTCTTAGTAGGCAGTAGCTCTAGGAATATTATTTATTGTGTCATAGGTCAGTCGTTTTACCACTGTCAGATCATCTGCGCGTCATCTCGACGACGATCAATTATTTAATTTTATATAACTATTAAGCACGAAAATGTTCGTTGTACATAAAAAATGGAGTGTAATGGTGTTTGTAAACACATTCGATTGATAACGATAACGTAAGGGTTTATTAACAATCAGTTTAATAGAAATAATTGTGGTGGCCCTGAAAAGGGCCTTTTTAATCCTTTCGTAGTCTAATCACATACAGGTATCTATTTGGAACTGGTGTACTTGGTCACAGCCTTGGTGCCTTCACTGACGGCGTGCTTGGCCAATTCTCCGGGCAACAACAAACGGACGGCGGTTTGAATTTCCCGACTGGTTATCGTAGAACGCTTGTTGTAGTGAGAAAGACGGCTAGATTCGGACGCAATGCGCTCGAAAATGTCGTTGACGAAACTGTTCATGATGCTCATGGCCTTAGACGACACTCCGGTGTCGGGATGCACTTGCTTTAAGACCTTGTAGATGTAAATACCGTAGGATTCTTTCCTCTTGGGCTTGCGTTTCTTGTCGGACTTGGTGATGTTTTTCTGAGCCTTGCCGGATTTCTTCATCGCCTTGCCTGCGGATTTAGCTGGTGGGGCCATTGTGAATTATTAAATATGAAAATCGTTGATGTGTGCGATAATTGGGACGAGAGGAGTCAATGATGAAAACCACCATTTTCTACCGTTATTTATACTGAAAACACGTTAATTTACTTTGCTAAGGATATTTTAAAATATTAATTTTGTCGAACAAAAACAACATATTCTATAAAACACTTTTAAATATATAATGTTGTTTTAGCTTATTATTTCAGTATAATTCTTTAGACCAATTGTAATAGTCGTAGTATTATATTTTAAGTATATATAAATCCAAATTGAACCCCGACTTTATCATTACCATTATTGTTACTCGAGACTTCATTTCGACAACTACGGATTATCAATCATCATGAGTGGACGTGGTAAAGCAGGTAAAGCCAAGGGCGGCAAGTCCAAAACCAGATCGTCTCGCGCTGGACNTTGGTGCCGGTGCGCCGGTTTACCTGGCTGCCGTCATGGAGTACTTGGCCGCCGAAGTTTTGGAATTGGCCGGTAATGCTGCCCGTGACAACAAGAAAAGTCGTATCATTCCCAGACATTTACAATTAGCTATCAGAAACGACGAAGAGCTGAACAAATTGTTGAACGGTGTAACCATCGCCCAAGGTGGTGTGTTGCCCAACATCCAGGCCGTTCTTTTACCCAAGAAGACGGATAAAGCAAAGACTGCTTAACGTCACACTCTCTACCGTGTTTGTTCTCACCTTTTAAAACGGCCCTTTTCAGGGCCACTAATTTGTTTTATATATATTAATGAAATGTGTTAGGTATCATCATTATCATAAGATATTCGTTATTATTTAAGGATAGTACCTCCTCTTGTTTGTTATAACGGTTAATAATAATAACCAGGTCTTTCAGTTAATATACTTGATACATATTAACCATAACCACTTTAATAATAAATGTACATTTAAATTTTAAAACTCAAATCTTTGGAATATACCGAAATATTTGATCAAATACACTACATTACAATGTAGATACGACAACTGCGTAGTAGTATTTATAATTAATATCTAAATGGTGTTACAATATAGCACACCGTCATAGTCATCTATGATCAGTAGATTGTAATTTTTCCCTGAAAAAAATGTCTACATAGATACTAGTTATGTTTTCTTTTGGGTGTAGTCCGTTCACGTTTTATGTACTAATCGTATTGATGTAATTAATTATAATTACAATGATTATGGTTTTTGTTTCGTTCTCTTTATAGTAATTACTACTAACTGTGAAAGCCATTCGGCATTATTAATAAATAATAGATAATAATAACAAAAGATTTAAAAATCAACCCCTTTAGGAAAGGCCGTGTAAAGAATGTCAACATAATTCTACATACTCAAATTAAACTTCTACGTTAATGATTAGTGATGAACATCATGTATACATTCATTATAAATATTTTTTCATAATAATTTGGAAAAAATGTTGAAATGCTTAATACAAATCGACAAATATTTACGGCGTACGATTTCTTGATTTTAAATTTTTGTAATTTATATTTTCTAATGGAAATCTTGCTTTCTTAGGTATTGATAGATATTTTAATATTGCGAATTTTTTATATAATTTGTATTTGTATTGTATTCAATCGGTTCATCTAGCTGAATCGATTAATTTACGAATTTACCCATCCGTTTGTTATAGATCCTCACATATGTGACCGATATATTAATATTTACCTTATTTGGCTCGACATGTTAATTAACGGGGGTATGATGATACTCGGGTACGGTTTATTATTAGTGATGATGAAATTGTTAATTGATATAAACGGAAGTACGGAAGTAGCGCGAGCATCAATTGCACACGGCAGCGTTTTCAACTAAATCCAAGAAAACTAAAAAAACAATCTTGCCTATGATATATATGAGGGCACTAGTTTCAAACTGTACAATCTCTTTGTTTCATAAAAATTGAGATAGATGTTGTTTAATATTCAATTGTTAGCGCTGAATTCAAACAACTCACTTTAATCGAACAAAATAGTCAATCTCCAATGTATTTTTAAGATTGAAAATTACATTTAGTTTAAAAAAGTACAATCTCCTTTGACAAGCTTATTTCAAAACGTACAATCTCTTTTGACAAGTATAATAATATTATTAAATATAATTATCATGGGTTTTACCATTGATTAAGACTTAGTAATACTTAAACCTCCACTCCACTACAATATTGCTTATCGTTAATGACGTTTTAGTGATCATTGTCAATAATAATTTATTATTGAATATAATGTTTTCAGTTGACTGTGCCGTTTCTATCGTCACGTCATGTATTTCGTGCGTGTATAATATAATATTATTATATTTTGTTCTGTGTAAAGTTTTATACAAAAAAAAAAAAAACGAAAGTTAATATTACTCCTACAACCGACAGTAAAACCAGAAAAAGGAAACGAAATACAGTTGAACGGAAGAGAAACCAGCAGAAAAAAATACGGTAGGTGTTATGAGAGTTCAGAAAATATTCATACAAAAATATGTATTATAAACCTTTTTATTTTTATTTGTCGACCTGGCCGTGGATATTATTATAATAATTATTATTAGTTATGAACAGTTTTTAATATCCATATTGCGTATCAATAATAAAATTAAAAGTATCATATTTAACAATATAACCTGAATAGGCACAAACCCCATTAGGTTCTTATCCCCCCTGACCTTATTTTTTTCTTTGACGTAACTAATGGGTTATACCTATTTTTTTAGGTATAGTCCGCATATGCTTCTATTTTACCCAACTTATAGACACAAAACAACTGCATTTCAGTGTACTTCCATTACTATGACTGAAATAAAAGAGTTCCTTACGAAGTTTTACGAAACGAAAGATAAAATAGTTTAAGACAATTTTATTTTGAAATATTGTAAAACTATTCCTGTAAAGCGTAAACGACCAAAAAATAATCGACATACTCAAAAAGTATTTAAGGGCAATTTTACGTCATTACTCAGCAAAAAACTGTTTTTCCTGTTTGTAAAAAGTCTTTCATGGACATTTTATGCATAATTAGAAGAAGAATTCACGCTGTCATTAGAAACTTTTTTAATACCTCTTCACCACCCAAGGAGAATCGTGGAGGCGATAGAAAATTGGAAATGAACAGGACCCAGAGAGATTCAGTTATGGATTTTATAAACAAATTTAAGGCAATTGAATCTCACTATTGTCGAGGACATAGCCAACGTTTATACTCGACTTTACATGTTTAACTTCACTGTTGTGAGAGGCACTTCTATAAGCAAATTAAATCCCAATACAGTCACCTCTTTCTGTTGGATTGAAAATGAATACGATAAAGGTTCAAATGAGATTGCTTCCTGTATTCATTATGTTTCGGAATCGTCAGATTTTACTGATGTTCATACTATTAAGCTTATGTGTGATGGTTGCGCGGGCCAAAACCAAAACACCACAATAATTTCAATGTGTTGCAACTGGCTCGCCAAACAAATGTAATTGCAAAATTTGAAGTTGTATACTCAGTAAGAGGACACTCTATTATTTTTCCTGGTCGTGTCTTTGGTCACATCGAAGTGGAGTGTAAAAAGAAAGAAATAATTTTAGAACCTCTTGAATATTTGGATATGTTATCAAATTATGGAACTGTCCTGGAAGTTGGAAAGGATGTTGAAATTCATGACTAAAAAACTGAATTTCTTAAGTTTTCAAAACATTTTTTGTAAACCTTTAAACTAAAAAAAAAAAAGAAAAATGATGACATCTAATATTTTGTTTCTTAATACCTTCTTATTATTTCCTAAATTTATTTTCAAAGGGAACAATCTCCTATTGTTAGTTACATATTGTACAATTTCCAAATAAAATTTTGTCAGAACGAACACAAAATCTTGTCTATTTAAGTATAAAACTGGTAAAATTATCTTCACATAACTATATGAGATGTTCAAAAAAATGAGCATGGAGAAAAAATTTTTTTTGATTAAGTTTATCCGTTCTTTTGAAAACTTTGTGGTGGTGGAGATCGTACACTTTGAAACTAGTGCCCTAATTTATAATTATTAACAATTTCTTTGTACAAATTAAATCATAATAATATAATTAATTATCACTTGGTATACACAATATTAGTGGCCCTGAAAAGGGCCGTTTTAATAATATTATTAATTATAGAAACACATCAATATAATTAAGCACGTTCGCCACGAATCCGACGAGCTAATTGAATATCCTTCGGCATGATGGTAACACGTTTTGCGTGGATAGCACATAAGTTGGTGTCTTCGAACAGTCCGACCAAGTACGCTTCACTAGCTTCCTGCAACGCCATTACGGCGGAACTCTGAAAACGCAAATCGGTCTTGAAGTCCTGAGCGATCTCACGGACCAAACGTTGGAAAGGCAATTTACGGATTAATAATTCGGTACTCTTCTGGTAACGACGGATTTCACGGAGAGCGACAGTTCCCGGACGGTAACGATGCGGTTTCTTAACTCCGCCGGTTGCCGGTGCGCTTTTCCTAGCTGCTTTGGTGGCCAGTTGTTTCCTTGGGGCCTTGCCGCCGGTCGATTTACGAGCAGTCTGCTTGGTACGTGCCATGATAGTCAACTATTTCGGAATGATCGGTTGTCAAAAGTTTGGCTGACTGAAAATAAACATGCGGAACTCTGAGAAACGACTTATATATATACAAAAGTGAGAACCGTTTGTAGCGCTCTCATTGGCCATGGGTGTCTATCATAATGGGAGGGGAGAAATTCGGTTTACGTTCCGATTGGTCTAATCGTCGACTAAAATGTATAAAAGTGACTGACATTTCATAACGGGTTTATTTAACGGGTTGTGATCAAGTATCGCTTCAAACACTGTTCAATACTATCAACTATTTACAATGACAGGACGCGGTAAAGGAGGAAAAGGTCTTGGCAAGGGGGGAGCGAAGCGGCATCGTAAGGTACTCCGTGATAACATTCAAGGTATTACCAAACCGGCCATTCGTCGTTTAGCCCGTCGGGGTGGTGTTAAACGTATTTCTGGTCTTATTTACGAAGAAACTCGAGGTGTACTGAAAGTGTTTTTGGAAAATGTTATCCGTGATGCCGTCACTTATACCGAACACGCCAAAAGGAAAACTGTAACTGCCATGGACGTTGTGTACGCTCTAAAACGTCAAGGACGTACCCTGTACGGTTTTGGCGGATGATATTTTATTATTATAATAATAAAATAATAAAGTAAAAATAAAATTATTAATTTGGATAGAGTTTTTTAAAACTCAACTCCCGTTTTCCATGGAACCATTATAAAACGGCCTTTTTCAGGGCCAACAAATATAAATTTATTATCTAGCATTTCAATATTTGATTTACTACACTACACTCGACAAATGCTTGTTCTGTTTAATCGAAGGTTTTGTGAGAAATTTCTTTTAAAATATTAATACACCTCAGCGTTGCAGTTTACATGTAGACATTTTTTTTCTTTTAAGGGGACGGAAACTTACGAAAGAACAATACAATTTTTTACAATAATCGAAGACAAGCCGTTTTGTAAAAAAGATTTTTAGAAAATTTTTGGTGAAAAATCGTTGAAAATAGAAGACCATACTTTAATTTACTAAAACTCTATTTTACTTAATGGCTAAAAAAAAATTGTAGTAAAATTTGTAATTTTTATTTTAAGTCACCCTCCTCCTAAAATGAAATATCCATGTATAAACTGTAGTATTGAGGCATACTAATTATTAAACAAATAATGTAAGATAATGGGGACGGGTGCAGCCACTGATGAAAGTGAGAAGTTGGGCAGGTAGGATATAGACGGGAATTTAATGTATATCTGTAAGCAACGATAATAAACCATTGATTACGAAAAAACGATTATGAGCTCAGTTTATAGTGATGCTTTGTCAACATATATATGTAATTTTATAGAAAAGACCGCATGTTGGCACCATCATAACCTTGTCCGTAGGCATGCTTTACGTTTAAACTTAAAGTTATTAAGGTACTAACAATAGTGTTGTTTGCTAATGTCGATCTTAGAATAAAATAACTTAGAATCAGTATATCAAAACCAAATACCTTCATAATAATAGTTAAAAAAATATATATATATTTATCGGCGAAATCATAATAATGATTATCTCGCATAGTCTCGGCGAGAGTGTGGATGTAGTTGATCATTATCTCCTAGAAGTCGATTATTACATTTCATTTGTGTTTTTGTCGTCAGTTCAGTTATCCAGTGGCGGGCTTTTTTTATCCTTACAAGTATCTATATGATTGAGTTAAATAGTTTATTGTATTTTTGTAAAATTATTCTGCGGTGGCTTATATTAGAGAGCACCACCCAACAAATGATAAAAAAAATGCAAACATATTCTTTTAAATTGTATAATGTGTAACAGAGGTGCCATTTGGGGCAATTTTTTTCTACAATTATTGTCCTGAGCGTTAAGTCAACTATTTTAAGTTTTATTTTTGGCGTAATTATTTTCCATCGCATTATCCACATACATCTTGAGATACACTAGAAATATATTATACAGCGAAATGACTACATATAACCAACACACACACTAGTCTGTGTTAAGATTATACATTTAATAAACCTTTATTTAGCCATATATTTTTTTGACAAATATGTGTTACACTCACTAAATATGGCTTCAACACGAATTTATGAGATTGTAGAAGCAGTTATAAAAGTTAATATATTAAATGATAAAGGTGAACTACCTCATTGGTCTTCAATAAGTTGGCAGAGAATTGCTGACATTTTGAATAGTGCAGAAAGATTGGAAACATTTATATAATTTTTTTTTTCTGATTCGGAGAACACTTTGCAATAGGCATTAATATTTTCAATAAGCTTGCAATAAATTGCCATCAGTTGCATTCATGTCTTGAGCAATTACACTGTAAGCTCAATTGTACAAATAAACTAATATTAATATATTCATCATTTTTATAAATAAAGTTTTTTCTTTTACATCTGGGTCATCTGGATCATCTAAAACATTAGTAATGCATATCTTCTTGTCGACTTCACTGTTAGTAACAAATTTAGAAATGCCAAGTTGTATAGTTTTAAACCTATTAAACAATTGTTACTTTTTGAAATACCACAACCAGCTTCTTTTTTTTAAAAAAAATGCTTATCTTTATGCGCTTTAAGGTTGGATGTATTGATATTTGCATTATTCTGAAAGCTGATCAATTTTGGTAAACATGCGCCACAGTTTACTAGGCGCCACGATTTATAATTAAAATCCTAAATTATAGATGATTTTTCATTAATATAGTAATATGGAGATATAAACCGTTATGTCCGGAGTCTAGATTTATTGATAGGTAAATACTTTAATTTCGGCCCATATTAACTAATTACATTTTAATAATAATACCGACTCCGCCGAACAACAACAATCAAATGACCGCTAATACACTAATATCACCGATGTCAAGTAAATAACAATGAAAACGCCCAGTCACACAGATGTTTCACCGTCCACAAGTCCCGTATGGCTGTATACAAATATAACTAAAACGTCGATTATATTGGGCGAATATACTCGCCTCGTATCAGCGATCAGTCTCGCATGAATGAGCGTGTACCCATCTATTCAAGTACACTGAGCTATTAAATTAAAATTATTTTATAATGATAATATTGTGAATTGTGATACCACAGATAACATTTAATATTGTGAATCGTGGTAAAATGATAGACCGATACCGAAAAGAAAAATAAATTGAATCATGA